GGGGGAGGAGTTCTGGATTCCTCTTTGCCCGGTTTCGTCGCTCATGTCTGGAGACACAGAAACACATTGAATTCAATGAATTGTTATTGATACGCCAACGGCCACAACACGGCTTCGTTTGATACTGCCGGGATTCCATCAAAGTCGATGCAGCATGCATGTAAATCCCGTGTGCATCACCATGTTGACCAGATTTAAAGGCCGTTGACCGCCATCGCACCGTTGCAGTATCCGTGTGCCATCTTCATTTCGCCTGTTGACAATGTGTGGACTCGTCTCCAGAGAGGACCTACCCTTTTTCTCTGGGAGGAGTCGTGGAAGCTCTACCGAACCTGGGGCAGACAACCAGCATTGTGGACCAACCGAGGAAGGAACGGGCATTGAGCGACCGGCCCAGGGGGTTCGATTGTTTGGCTGACATCGATCGGTTCGTTCGTTCTCTGGCGACCAAAGATTGAACCCCTCAAGGAGAAGTTCAAGGGAACGAAGTCGATCGATGATCCCGATGGCACGTGACATGGCCGTCCAGAAGAGGAGGGAATGTCCGACGCCACTTCCGCCGGCCTGCCATTTCAAGCATTCCGTTGGTTGAGATAGGGGGGCTGAGGGAAATATGGGATGAAGATGGGGTCGGAATGAAGGATGAACATGTTTCCCTGGTTGGCGGTTGACGTTCATCACTTTCAATTACTGCCAAAGCGTCGACCTAGCTTCAAAGCGCACATTCATTTGGTATCCCATTCTTTTTTTTTTTCTCCAGGTCGTTTGGCGCTCACAACAGCGGCGGCACACACGCCAACGCCCGATACGGGAAGGGCAGGTAGGCGGAGTCGCAACCCCATTTCTGGCACGTTCGCACTTCTTCGCAGTCTGGGACTCTGGCTGGCTGATGTTACCGTAGTGCTGCTCACCCCGGAGAGAACAATTGGCACCCTCTAACTGAAATTCCCCGACGTTATTTCCCGGATTTTCCGTTTCCTCTTTTCTGTCATGCTCCGTCTCTTCGTATTTCCATGTACGCTACTACACAAAAGACGATGATAAAATGCAACAACGATGGCCAAAAAACGCTTCGTTGTTTGTTAAGCCTTTCCAAGAGATCTCTTATCATCCAATCCGCGCGATCGACAAGCCTTGGTCCAGTCTTGTCGCCAACAACTAAGCAAAGCTTGGATTTGGCACAGCAGCAAGAAGCTTGGTTGATCGACGACACCTTCTCGGCCCAGCGGGCTCGAGCGGGTCCCGCTTTGCTTGGTGTGAGCTTGTTTTCAGTGGAGCCGGCTTGGCGCATCAGGGGTACATAATGCTCGCGGCACTGGAGGCATGGGCGGCTGTCTCCTGGAAATCTGGGCAGCTTGGCAGCTTGGCGGGCACCCATCTTTGGCCAACTTTTTTGTGCCCATTTCGATTTCAATTCGATGTCAAGTTGGCGACCATGATGGGTTATGACGTGGAGCACAATTTGTGAATGTTGGCTTTGGTTTTCTACATATTCTTCTTTTTCATCTTCATCTTCCCCTTCAATTGAAAATGAATGACGAGAATGCTACCTACTCTGACATGAATGAACTCCTGAAAGCAATCGCAACATGAAACGCAAAGACGATCCCCCCGATTTGTGCATGCATCTTGAAATTGAGCTTCAAGCGACACACAGGTAGACCGCCTGCCGCGAGTTGTTACACCCCCAGGATATCTCAATTGCCTCTACCCTATCGCTCAATCTTGAAATCTCCAGTGCCACCCGTTTGAAACTTGCGTCGAATGTCCACACAGTCCTTGTTGTCAGCAGTCAGTCAGTGTTTTGCTTCCAAACCTAAATGACGTCCGGATGCCAGCATCCGAAACTGCGGGTCCAGTTTCACGCCTCAACTTTTGTCTTTAACTTTGCATCTTATTTGCGAATTGAATGTGTCGTGTCGAATCGAGTCAACGAATCAACAATTGGTCCTCACACCTTTCGTTGTGAACTTTGACCTCCCGACCTTCAGCTTGTTCGTTCGCTGCTCGCTAAAAATTATGGTGGCTCTTTGCTTCGCAGGCCTCTGCTTGCCCCCCGAAATTCCACAAAAAACATCCTGACCAGCCAATCCATGATCTACAGGAGAACGATTGGCGCGATCTTCACTCCTTCAATCATGTCAGCATTCTGCACTGCCTCCTTCGTCGTGTTTTTTTTTTCTGGGAGGGTGTGATCCGTGCTTCTAAGAATGGAACTTGCCGCTCTCTGTCCGCTGTGCGACCGACAGAAATGACAGGAAAAGAGGCGCAGCAACGCAGGCCTCGGCAGGCACAGGAGGCGCTGGTGCACGGGCCAGAAGAGTAGGAGACACAGTTAGGTTGAAGTTAGTGTACTAACAGACTTCGGCACTGATGCTGCATCAATTAAATAGAATAGTATTGATATTGCAACCCTGAATGTCCTCTCGTGTCCAACCGAGGTCCCAGTTGAGGGTGCAATCGCTCACTGCATTCCAACTTCCCAACTGCGTTTGAAATGATCGACCTGCGAGACTCGACTGTGAAACAATCTCACAAAGTTAAACCTCCAAACATCAAAATCACCATCTACCCTTCCGCCTCTCACTCTTCACCACCCATACTTTACTTACGTTGCCTCCTCTACGAATTCAGAAAGTCACTTGACGTTGAATACATCGATGTAGCACGTCGGCGAACATGTGCAAACAATGCTGAAGTTCAGCACTGAACAACCTCAAAACCCAAGTCAAGATGCCATTGCCATCTCCACCTCTCCATCACGATCACGAAATCACGAAGTGTTTCTTCATCGTTGCTAGAAATATTCCCACATTTCAGAGTTCATTTCCCTCTAGAAGTGCCACAGCCACACATTCACACAAATGTCACATAGGAAGCTCGGAACGGGGAAGGTATCTTCTTTCCCCAGACGAAGCTTTCACCCGCATGTCCATCCAGCATCAATCTTAACGCCCTTCTCAGTCTGTCTCACAGCCTTTCCCAATTTCCTTTCTACCTGAAATATCTTGCTTTTCATGTCCAGCTAGCCTTTCGTGGTGGCGTCTTCCACAATGCCTCAGCCGAGTCCAACCAGCCTGAATACGTTCACGATGCCGCCTCTCTTTCTTCGTCTTCTAACCAGCTTAATCCTCGTCTTCCCTAATTCCGCAGCCCTGTCCAGCCCGGACATATCACGGGCCTACTGGGTAGGGCGAGGACGTGGACGCGGTGCCAGTACGCCCATAATAGCCCACTTGGGCATGGAGTCCTGCTCCCAACGTGGCCGAATATGGTCAGCATCTGTACTCGCTATGGAACGGCAAACTCCAAAAGAGTGTTGATCAAGTGTTTTGCTTTTCAGACTGTTCTTGGTTGTTTTTGTGCCTTTCTCATCGATCGAATCGATCTTGATCTCCGAACTGGTGCGTAGGTGTTTATCATGAAGCAACTCGCAATTCTATGGGAGGTTTTGTCTGCTTACCAGATTACGGTGTCAGTTCCTTCTTACCGCTCCAGTGGCCTATATCGGCTCGCAAGTCCTGCTTTGGAGACAGGTACATGTGGTTATCATCCGTACTGCCCGAAGAAACGGTGATTTACAAGGACATGCACAGTCATGTTGTTTTCAGAGCGCTCTCATTTGGTTTATATGGTTTATTGTTGCCTGTCATCATCAACCTTTCGGTTTACAGATGCTTTGCAGTGGTCTTCATCATGGAGCAAGTCTTCACATTAGCGGGAAGTTCCCTGCTTACCAAGCTACGGTGTTGGCTGAAGACAGTACCCAGGACCAAGAGTCGAAGTGGTGATCGAGGGGTCTCCTGGGAGAACGTATGCTCTGTTAGCAGTGATCTCTCAAAAGAGAGGAGGTGCTTCAGCCAAGTGGTGGTGCCGTTTTTATCAGATCTCATCAACATTTGCCTTCATTGCTCCGAAGAAACTCAGAAGTAGTCATATGTAAGGGTGTACATCATGAAAATGCACTGGGGCTGTTCGGTTGTCGGGAACGCCTGTGGATTGGAGGAAAGTCAACTTACTGACCCCGTCTGACCCCAAACACCGCTCGCTACTGGGAAACCACTAATGCCCTGCTGGGTTTTGCTCGATCTTCTCGTTGTTGATGTGATAGTATTGTCATTGTTACAAGGCAGAGTTTGCACACGTTCCGGCTTCCCTATACCGCACCCTTCCAGCATTTTTCCGTTCCTCCACTTCCGTTGGTACTACTCAGACATGCCCTTTTGTTGAAGAAGGTTAATTGCTGAATCGAAGGTCGGCCGATCCAGTTGTGATGGCCAACTGACTGCGTCGCTGTCTTGGTCGGGCTGTCGAGTCTATCGGTGGTGGTTGCTGTTGGTCTTTGGGTAGTCGTCTCCTGTTGCGTTGCAATCAGTGTTAGCATTCGCTCTCCCAACCCAATTTAACGCGTTGGTCGTTATCAGCATTCCAAGCACTTGCTTCTCATCAGATTCTTTTCAGTATGGTGTTCATGAACCCCCTCCTCGCCTTGCGAGCAAGTGGTTGTTTCACAGTTTATGTATCAATGGTTTTCATCATTGAAGCAAGTGCTCTTTGTTTCCCCCGAACCCTCAACAGCCAAGAGAGAAATGATGAATGGGGGAAAGTGAGCGGGGGAATGTAAGAACTGCTATTCCAAACGACGAAGGAAACTTGATCGCCGAAGGTAGATATTCAACAGATCTCCGCATCGCTGGAGAGACACGACACGTTGTTCTTCGGCATGTGGGATTTCCTTTGTGATCTAGGGTCCTACAGCCCTCCCGGTCGTGGACTCGAGACCGGAAAGACTGGGCTTGCCGGACGGTTGTGCATAAGGGCTGTGTGTGTGTGTGGGGGGGGGCTGGGTATGGCTGATGGGGAAGGTAGGTATGTGTGACTGTTGGGTAGAGGAAGAACTTACCTACTACTAACTGGTAGACTCCGATATCAGATCCAGCTTCCATATTCGTTTGACTTAGCTCCGGGTTTCTCGAGTGACCAAGCGGGCTCTGGCTAGGCTAGAAAACATTGGCCTCCAGCTTGGCGCGCATCTTCTCCAACTCGCGGGCCTTGACACCCACCACAGCAATGGAAGGGAACGTTACTTGTGGCTGGTACATGTTCGCCACAAGCCTCATCTTCTCCCTCGCGATGAAATTCTCGGTCTGCAGCTTGGAAGACGGCTGCTATCTTCTCTTCTTCTTCTTCTTCTTCTTCCCCACACCACTAGCGCTACCTCTTCGCAGAAACCGAGTTCGGGGATCAGCTTCTTCTTGCGATTGGTGTCGTCGGAGTTCCGCATTCTACGACGTATAGGACGCCCCAGCTTGTTAAGTGTTTGGTGTCTTTTTGTTGTGGGTGAATTGTATAGGCCCAGAAGAAAGAACTCCGATATTGAATGGCTCCCGGAAAGTACCTCCTTGGCAGGTTCGCGTCACTTGGACTGACGCGTTGTCGTTGTCCGAACTTTGAGGTCCGCCTCTTCCACTCACTTATTTCTACCTACGAGCGCTGGCACTTCTTCTGGACTGGGCCGTGAAGGGCGAGCCAAAGAGTCAAAGAGCTAGCTGCCTTGCACGGCCAACGACAATGTGGCCTTGCCGGTGGTTTCAGCGAGATTGAAGAGCTGGATGGGTGAAACTGAAGATCTGGTGTTAGAAAGGCAATGGCGATGGCGATGGCGATGGCGATGACAATGGACCGCGTTGCGTTGTTGGATCGACTCTCTTCTTGCGCTTGGCACGACCGCAGTCTGCACCTAACCAAAACCAGGCACCTTGAACTACCTCTTGCCTTTCGGTGTCAATTCTTTCGGGGAGTCTGAATATGGTGGTTCGGGTATTCACCTCAGTCTTTCCTGTGGGAGGTTCAACAAGAGCGAACCACCCTATACCGACTCGACTTGTTTATTGTGATGGTGCAATGGGCGCTGTTTTTGTGTTGTTCGTGTTACGGGTGCTGATCTTTCTTCCTCTTTTTTCCTTTCTTCTTCTCAAGAGGTTCGTTCGACAACTTGGCCTCCAGCTTGGTCCGCATCTTCTCCAGTCTTTTGGATTTCCACTTCCCAAGGACATCTCCAGAAGGTCCCGTTTTTCAGAAGCCAGCTAACTTTGCTGTTACCGCCCTCCCTTTCTACCCCGGCAATGGAAGGGGGTTCTTTACTTGTTGCTGGTACATGTTCATGCCGGGGTAGAAAGGCGGCGCCCACGCCGTGCCGTATTCCACAAGTTCAAGTCGAGCAGAGACATAGCTATGTTTAGGCGATGCTCATCCCATGAATGTCTTGACATCAAGTGATGCGTGGACCAGCGTAGCACCCGATGGATGATGAATGTCATGATTGTTGATTCCCTTCTCTAACTGTTGAGGAAGCTGAAGGCTCCGTTGACGGGCCTTATATACAGGTCATGCCCAGAGGTACTAGCTGCTTCCCTCAACGGGTTGGGTCCCATTGTGTGCCTCGTGGTTTTCTCACGGGAGACCCCGTGTCATCAAGTTCGTGTTGGTTTCCCTTGGAGTCAATGACTGGCAAACCCAAATGGGTTTTTGGTCACGTTGGGTCCGACACCTTTAGCTGTGCCGTCGGTCGAGATGGAGCAGGCAATATGTCGGCTGGCTGGGTGGCTGAAACTGGCGCCCGTGATGGTTGAGCTTGACATCGCCGACATCAATACCGCGATGTTTCGAGTCGTGGAGCATCTGGTGGTAGAGATGGGAGTTGTTGAGATGGCCACCTTTTTGTGGGCAACGATTTGAACATTGAAACTGTTGTCCGAACTTCTTGCAAGTGGAGGGAGGAATGCAGCCGACGTTCAGGCCGGTACTGCCGAAGACGCCAGGCCGCGCCCGGCTCCTGAGTAGGTGCCAGGCTGGCTGGGGCTTCTTTCACCATTGTCCTCTTCCTCTCCTTCCTCGCCCTTCTTCGGCCTTCTTCGGCCTGACCTTTGCCAATCATCATCGGCAGTGAACTGTTCCCTTAAGAACAAAAAGGTATGTAGGTACCTGTCGTTTCATCTTGTCTCCCTGCCAGGTGTGTTTCCTTGTACATCTCCCTTTCCTTCTTGCTCTTGGATTTGCAAAAGTTAGACTGAGTCAATTCTGAATGTGCTTGTAGGAAGAGACACAGAGTGACGAAGGCCTCCTTCTTTTTCGTTTTTCTTTTTTTCGTTTCTCGGTTTTTTTGTGTTTTTTCATGTTTTGTCGTTTTTTTTGGTCTTTTGATTTGTCAATTTTTTTTTGTTTCTTTGTTTTTCTCGTTTTTTTTTTGGTGTTTTTCTTTGTTTTCTCGTTTGTGGCCTTCTTCTTGTCGGTCTTCTTCTCGTCCTCAGAGTCGGACGAAGAATCGCTGGAAGACCTGTCGCTCGAGGAACTGTCAGACTTGGTAGCCTTCTTGGCTTCCTTCTTGACTTCCTTCTTCTCAGCCTCAGACTCAGAAGAGTCAGAGTCGGAGTCCGAGCTGGAGTCGGAATCAGACGAAGAGTCGGAAGAGGAGTCAGATTTGGAAGAAGAGCTCGAATCCGAATCGGAAGAGGAATCAGAAGAAGAGTCGGAGGAAGAAGAGTCCGAACTAGAATCGGAAGAAGACTCGGAAGAGGACTCGGAAGAGGATGAGTCAGAAGACTCATCCTTCTTGGCGGCAGCGGCCTTAGAGAAGAAAAGTACTTCAAGCCATGGAAGTTTAAAAGTGCCAGCGCAAAAGTGAGGCGGGCTTGAAAGTTCGGACGACGGGTCCAGATGACGATTTTCGGGGAGTCTCAACACCTGTCAGGCCAAGGTCCTCGTCTGTAACAGACAGCTGGTCAGTACAAGCTGAGACGACAACCAAAGGGTGAGGTGACTGACCTTGTCACTACCTCTAGATTCTGACGCAGACAGTGCGGCAGATGGCTTTGCTGCTTCTGCCTTGACCAACGATTTTGCTGGTTTGGCCTTCGTAGGCTCTGGCTTTGGGGCTGGCTTTGCTACTGGGCGAGTCTTGCCAGGAAGCAGATAAGAAGCAGGGGGTTTTGCTGTGGTCGCGGCGCATGTTGTTGCCATGGAAATCTTTGAAGAACGGCCCTGCCGCGGAGCGCACATTGGGGTTTGGTCGGTTTAGGGAGATGCGGGCGAGGCTGCAGTGGACTCGGTACGAGAGAGATTCGGAGGAGATGGAGGACGAGTTCAATCGGTGGGCGGCCCAGCCCGGCCCAGCCTGCGGTCGCTGCCCGCTTAACTCTACCCCAGTTGATGGGGAGAGAAGCTTTCGGGGCCTTAAGCTCGCAGGCTGGGCGACCGCACCACAGGTTGAAGTGTGATGCGGTGATGGTGAGGTTTGTAGGTGGACTCGAAACCGGCCCTCAGGCGCCCACTAGCCCGAAGGAGGGAGTAGGGATGCCGTCCTCGGGCGCGGCTCGGAGGGAAGTCGAGACCGGTCGGGCAAGAGTCGATGAGCACAACAATGTACGAGGCGGCGGCGCGCACGGAAAGCTAAAGGTCGGTTGGCAGATGGTTAGCACTGGGATCTTAGCCGGCAAGTGGCGATGACAAGCGCGGTAAGTGCTCCAAGGTCAGATTTAAGCAATTTTGTGTCGTCATTGAGCTAACCACAAAGTGATGGCTCTTTGACATGTTTGTCTAAGATTTGTGTTCATCATGGAAAGGGAGCTGGCAAGGCGAAAGAGGATGATGGACCGCTTACCTTGCAGTTGAGATGGAAGTCTCTGGGCCTCCATGAAATGGTTCAAGGCAGTGTTGCTGTCAAGTGTGGTGGTTAGCAACATGCTTTCCTTTCAGAGGAAGTGCCCGGTTATGTACGCGCGGTGAGCGTCTCCATCCACATCAGATCTCTGTGTCTTCATTGAGCCCGTCACAAAGTGACTTTCTCTTTGCAAGTGTAGAAGCTTTGACTTGGCTCATCATGGCAGGGAGCAGAGCTAACGAGGAGAAAAGCGACAGATACACGAACGAACGACTTACCTCGCAAACGGGATCAAAGAAGATTCTCAAGGTTGAGAAGGTGAGGGTGGTTGCCTGACAAGATGGATTAGCAACATCGATCCCAGGTTGAAGCTCTGCGTTTTTGATAGGCGAACGAGATGAATGCTTCAAAATCAGAGAAAAGCTCGTAGGTTCTTTGTTTCATCATTGAACCAACCCCAGAAGGAACAGGTTCTTTGTAAAGTCAAGACTTTTGTCATCATGGAAAGAAGCAGGTCTAACGAAGGGAACTGGTAGATGCGAACGACGTACCTTTAACGAGAAGCTTTTTGCCCATCTCTTGAAGACGGCAAGTGCATGAAAGACTTGAAGGCGGGATTGCTTCTCGCTGTTTGCTGGGTTTGCTTCTTTTCTAAAGCTCGCTGCGAGCGCGGCAGTTAGCTGAAACTCTCAAAAACAAGTGTTTGCGTTAGAGAGTGGCGCGTGGTGCTTCCAGTCAGGTGGAATGAGTACGAGTCTTTCTTGTCCTCATGGCTAAATATGTTTTTTGTTTTCGGGCTTCACTTGAAGATGTTTTCATCATGGAATTCGTTGGTGTGGTTTTTGCGCAGGACAGGACAGGCGGCTTACTTTTCTTTCTCTTCGATCGCGTTGCCATGCATTTTGTTCTCTTCGTCGTTTGTTGGCTTCATCGCTCGGTTGTCCAAGATGGAGTATCGGGTATGGTGTAGCGGAAACATCGTCGACTTCCACTTTTGGATTGAACGAATGACTACCTAGAGGTAGGTGCGAAAGAACCTGCAACCAGAAGTGTATGTTGCTGGCGGTTAGTAACTGTACCGAAAAGGCAAAAGTCATTCCCCACCAGCGTCAAAGATGGAACCCAAGTTGTTGATTGCTGCCTCAGACACTTGCCGATTTGTCTTCATCGAGCGATGTTGATGCTTCTCGAGTACAAGAACGCTGGTTTTTTGTCATCACAGGCAAGCTGCTGGGTACCTCTAGGTATTTGACGCTGGTGATCTCGGGAGCACTGGGAGGAGTCGCCTACCGCTGAGACTTTCTTCGCGGGCTTGAGGAGTTCGAACGATGGGACACCTGTGCAGCAGAACAAAGGCAAAGGAGCCAAGTGGTCAGCAAGAGCAATCAACAGAAAGCACAAGTGAGAGCCAAGTGGAGGTCGCTGGCTTTGAGATCAGATCACCAGGGTGAGTATCTGCATTGGGCTCTTGGGGAATCACCCCCTCAGTCGAGGAACCCCTGGGTTTGTGAGGAAGTCTCATCATGTATAAGCCAGGCTGTGGTGAAGGTGCTTGTGGCTAGTGTCGAGCATGGATTCAGAGTTAACTTGCCGAGTTCTTGTTGTAGTCCCTGGGCTATGCCCTCGTTGACGGAAAGCGTTGGGGAGCAGCGAAGGAGGCGAGTGCCTGCAAAGACTTTGCTGTTAGCCGCGATCGAAGTCAACTGGTACCGAAGTGATTGCAAAGGCAGACAAAGTGGCTTGGTTTCAGATTGGCATGGGTCTTTTTTCTCTGTCATTGAACAGTCGAAAGTGTTGGATTCTCAGAACATGAACATGGGAAAAGTTTGGTTTCATCATATTCAAGCTTGGGGTGGGAGTGAAAGGAGGTGAGAGAAAAGTGGTGACTTACCAAGGTCCAACTTTTGTCTGTCGAATGGAGAAGAGGAGCAAGTGCCTGAAAAAATGAAAGGCAGTTAGTACCTATCCTGTCATAATCATTTACAGACTCAAATGCAAGTGCGGGTATTGTTGCTTTGCCTCAGGCATGGTTTTTTTACATCATGAAGGTGTCGATCGAAGTGTTGCACTCTCAGGAGCAAATGTACATGAAATTTTGGGTGATCATCAGGTGGCAAGCGATAGGGTGGAAGTGAAAGGAAGTGAACTTACCAAAGTGCTGCTTGTGTTGGCCAGAGGAAGAAGGACAAGTGCCTGAAAGAAGCAAGGCAGTTAGTATCCTGCCAAAGTCAAAGACTCAGATGCAAGTGCAATTATTGTTGCTTTGCCTCAGAACTGGTTTTTTGCGTCATGAAGGAGTCGAAGTGTCGAATTGTTGCACTCTCAGAAACAGATGTACAAGAAATAATTGGGTGATCATCAGATGGCGAGCGATGGGGTGGAAGTGAAGATCAAGTGACAGACTTACCAAGTGGTTGAGTTGCGGCCAAGTGGAAGCGAGAGAACTGCAGTATTTGCTGAACCGTCAGTGAACTGCCCAAGCTATGAAAGATGTTGACAAGTGCTCTGAAATAACGTGTTGGTGGATCAGATTGCGATTTTGGTATCATCGAGCCGTGACAGTCATCGACTGTGAAGACTTTGCGCTCTCAAATTAAGAAGAAGGATGATTGCTTGGTCATCATATGCGAACAGGAAGTGGGAGAAGCAAAAGGGGTATGACTTACTCAATTCTCTGAGCATGAAGTGAGACCGAAAACCTGCGATGACGTTAATGTCAGCAAACAGCCAAAGAAAAGAAATGCCGACAAGTGTTGAAGGAAGCCTGGTGAAATCAGTGCATTTGGTATTGGTTGGTCTCATGGAGCTGTGACAGTTTTTGACTGTGGAGGCTTTGCACTCTCAAAGCGACGAATAAGGCAGATTGTTTGATCATCATGGTGTGCAGGCGATAAGTGGGAGGGGCAAAAGGAATGTCTGACTTGCTTACCTCTAAGTTTCTGACCATGAATTGCAGCAAGACCTTGGGGGGAGAGATCCAGTCGAAAACCTGCGAAAAGCACAATGTCAGCAAAGAACCAATGAGAAGAAATACCAACAAGTGTTGCATCAATTCTGGCGGCCTCAGTACGTGTTGTACTCTCATGGAGCCGTGACAGTCCTCAACTGTGGAAGCTTTGCGCTCTCGAAGCAAGAACAGAAAGAAGTTTGTTGGGTCATCATTGGCCAGGCTGGAGGAAGCAAAAGGGTGTATGACTTACTGGAATCTCTCGCCATGCGAGCCATGGAGAGAAAAGACCGAAAAACCGCAGCGAGCACTGTCAGTAAAAGCTCTCCCCAGACGCAAGCTGACTTGAGAAGAAAGAAGACATTGCTTCGAATCAGAAAATCTCCAAAACTTTCAGTCGGGATCTCAAGCATCTGCTTGTCCCCCTCAATCGAGTAGATCAAGAACAAAGCAATCATCATGGAAGCACCTGTGTGTTGAAAANNAAAAAAAAAAAAAAACCATGGAATGGAAGTCGACTCACCGCTGGTTGTCTCTATGACGAAGACACAAGCTCATGATGACTTTCAGATCCCACCCGGGCCATCCCTTGACGCTTATGGGGTACTCCCTAGCGCCTACAGAATCTTCTCAGATGCCGTCCGTCAGAGACAAAGCCTTTGCTGGCACGGGGCTGAGGTGGTTCGTGTTCTGTTATCGTCGACTCCCCGGCAGACCGTAGGGAACCACGCGATAGCAACACTCCTTGAACTGGGACAAGGTTTCCTTTGCAGGTCACCGCGGGAAGGTGCCCAGGCCAACGACCCGAACAGCCCTCCCGCAGCTATTAATCTATCTACACTACTCGAAACAGGACGACGACACAGATTGAAGACTGAGACTTACTCTGCGAGGGGCTGCGGAAATCTCTCTCGCGAGCGTACTGCTTGGCCGACCAGGGGCGGCTGCGAAGTTGATGATCCCTGGCCAGACTGACAATCTGAGCCTGGAAAACCTGCGTTGGCAGTGGAAGTCTGTGAGCGCAATGTTGAACACGGAAAGTTAGCAATGTTCAAGCGAGATGCTCAAGAAGTCAAAGACTGGTGTCAATGAAACCGCCTCATCAGAGTTAGAGAGAAAAGATCGGACCCCACACTATCTGCAGTAGAGTGATTTGGTCCATCAGCGAGGGAATGCTGAGCGCAGATGCCGAAAGCACCACCGCCAGTTTACAGCACCCTGTTGATTTCAGACTCGCCACACATACAAAAGATTGTATGCTGGCCACTCGTTCTCATCATGGCGAAGCAAGGGAAAACAAAGACAGGAAGAAATGCTTACGCTGAAGTTGTCCGTACCTTAGTGGAAGTTTGTGGCCGTCCTGGTACCTGCTACAGAAATGGTCAGCAATGGCCAAGTGAGACGGTCCAAGACCGAAAGTGTTAAAGACAAGTGTCAATGACCAGAGCCTCAGAGTTTTTAAGTGTGATGATCCCACCCCGCGCTATCTACAGCACAAGAGTGATTTTGTGCATCAACGAGGAGATGCTGAGCGCAGATGCCGAATCTCCTTTTCCAAAGCACCACCGCCAATTTACAGCACCCTGTTCATTTCAGAAATGTGCATGATGCCACAGGGACGAAAAAGATCGTATGATGGCCACTCTTTCTCATCATTGGCAAGGAAAGCACAAACAGGTGAGAGACAAACACTTACAAAGTGGAAGTTGCTGGCTGACCAGACTGACGAAATGAGCTTGAACCGTCTTGGGCGGCGGTGGCCAGGACACCTGTGAGCATCATGATGAAAACGTTAGCAATGACCAAATCAGATGCTCAAGAGTCAAAGAAAGGTGTCAATGAAAGGTGTCTCAGAGTTGAAGTAAAAGAATGGGACGCCCACGCTATCTACGATAGGTAGAGTGGTTTCCTCCATCAGCGTGGAAATGTTGGCTTATGCACAACCTCCGGCTAATTTCAGGTAGTTATGACACAGGGACAAAAAATCGTATGTGACCACTCGTTCTCATCATGACAAAAGTGACAAATGGCAGAGCAGGTGAGCGAGAGAAACTTATTTGGTGCAAAGAGTTGTCGAGAGATGACTTGTTGATGTGTGGACTCTGTTGCTGACTTGTAGGCTGTGCAGCGGTCGCAGGCGCCGGCGACTGATGTCTTTGTCGCTGTGTCGTTGAACTGTGCAAACTGAAACTTCGCATTGATCGCAGCGAAAACAACCTGACCGCCACAAAAATAATGTTAGCCCAATCCATAAAACAAGGTTGACGACGTCTCGAGTAATGGATGTCGACTGTGTGAAGCAACGAGGAGGCAGTTTCGAAGGGCACTCTCCAACAGTCCTCCTGAACCAAGGTCACCACTCCCTGGAACAGGCACAGACACCAGACAACATCCAAGCTTTGGCATGCAAGGAGGAGTCTAGCTGGGCTAAGTGAGTAGGTGGCGGGTCTACTCACATTTGAAGTTCATGTTGTTGTTGAAGGCAAGACAACAGTCGATGAAGAGAGGAGAACCGCGGAGAGGTGCCCAGGACAAAGTCCCGGACAGCCCCCCCGCAGCCCCCGGTCGCACGAAAGCTGCCCACACCAATGTATCGAGTCGAAGAAGACAATGAAAACCTGCAATCAAACTGAAAAAGTTAGCCAAGGCCCATCCTCCTTGGTCACCCCAGACTCGGTCCCGGAGGGTCTTGTTATTGACATTGTCATTGTTCAGCACAGCCACCTGTCCCTGGCATGCACGCCCCGTGGTCCTGATACCGATCCCACATCCCAAGGCTTGGCTAAGTAGGTGCACCTACCTGATGAAAGAGTGTGTGAGAGATGCTGACTGTTGAGGATCGAAGACCGATGATGGTGATGATGAAGACCTGAGATGATGACCGCAAAGAATGTTAGCCAAACCGAACACGAAACAAACCAAGTCAGAAAACGAAGAGTGAACAGAACCCGCGGTATCAGTACCATCCCCACTCTCGCCCATGGGGCATCGCGTTTGAGAGCGTGACCAGAGAGGAATCAACATTAAGGAGCCGATGGGTTATCATCATCACCACATGGGGGGTTCTGCCGCGCAAGAATGAAGCTAAGTAGGAGTAGGACCTACCTGAATGTGTCTGTGTGTGTGTGTCGCAAGCTGAAGACTGAATGAGTGGTGGTGATGATGATGATGATGATGATGATGATGATGATGATTGATTCTGAGAAAAAGAACACGTCAGTAAACTGCTTGACAATACAAGGATGTCCGGTTAGGTGAGGTGTTTTTTTCCCCAAATCAGATAATGGCGGTATCATCAAGGCAGCAAGGCTGGCGGCTCAGATAGTTTGGTTTTCATCATGGGAGAGTCTGCTCGTGCTAGTATCTGTTCTTACCTGAAGATGTGAAGCTCAAAGTGAGTGATGATGGATGATGAACAAGAAGAGGAAGAGGAGGAAGATGGGTGTGACAAGAGATGAGGAAAGAGGGAAAATTTTGAGAAGAAGGGAAAGGTGAAGGAGGAGGGGTTTAAATAGAGGAGAGGGATAGAGAGAGGAAGAGGAGGAAGGGGTCGCCAGCTGACAGAATCAGTCCTCCTGAATAGAAATTCCCGGTGGGGAAAGCCAAAAGGAAAGTACTCGAAGGGAGCAAACAATCGTACGAGACGGGGACTCAGAAGACGGGACGAAAGAGTAGGGCGAAGAGCGCAGCATTTGTTGGCCAGGCGGACTGATTCTGACGTTGTGTGTGCAATCACAAACTGTACGAGGCTGCTTATTGGCAGGACAACGGTGGCAGACTGTCCAAAAGGGTCCACTCAAAACCAAAAGCTGTTATGCCAGCCGTCCGAAAAGGGAATCAGTCGCAAGGCAGGGCGGTCTGGACGGTCTGGGCCAAGCCAAAAGGCAGCAAAGAAGACCAGACGACGGCTGAAAGATAAACAGAGCCCCGCAACTGGTTTACTCACTGTGGTCACGAAGGCACGGTGGGAATATCTCTACGGCAACGGAGCACTCTGGTTCGTCGAGGATGGGAAAGGCGAGCTCGACAATCTTCTGCGGGGTTCTCTTCACATCTTGAATTGCTTGGGATGAATAACTTGCTCGTCCCGTTGTTCAACAAGTCCAGAAGTTGTGAATTACGAGCAGGAGAAAGTATCTGTGGAGATACAAACTCGAGAAAGCAGCCCTCTGGTAGGTTGAGAAGCTCGAAGACAAGGATTTGATCCCTCTCCGGTACTTGTCCAGTCTATAATAACAATGGGACGAGCAAAAGGGACAGTCACTCGTCCCATCACCTGCAGATATTTTGAGCAAGAAAGACGGGATCTCAAAACAATATCGAGTCACACGGGAGCAATACATTTGTCATAGATACCAAGAGAATCGCGGTGAACAGCCTTGTGCCTCGAGGGAACAATCTCATTGGCCTTGTGGAGGGATGACGTGACGATATGGGACGGGAAGCAACAGGAACTTTGGTCTGTTGAGGCGGCTGGCGAAACAGTTCAGACCAGCTGTTGTGGGTCAGTGGTTTTGTTTTGTGGCCTGGACTGTTTGCTTTGCCCTGGAAACGGTGACGCGACAGGTTGCCGGTTGGAAGGTACGTAAACAGGTACCGGCATCGAGCTTTGACTTCTTTCTTTCACCGCTTGAGGGGCACTAGGCAGGCAACGGGCAGATGGGAACCTAGTGAGCCCTGGTTGAGCTCTTCTTGGGAATCTAAGTATTGTGTTGTTATCTGTGATGAAGCGGAAGCTATTTGCAAGTGACTGTGCTGCTGGGTATATCGAAAGCAGATTCTGTCAGCTTCATTTTGAAGCGGGCATTGATGTGGGCAGAATCACGGGTAAATGAGCAGTGAGGCCTGGTTGAGCTCCTTCTCGGAATCCAGGTATCGTGTTTTCATCAGACTCGGGCCAGGAATCATCTGCAAGTGACCATCTACTACTGTGTTGTGCACATTGAAAGCACAATAGATTCTGCGCGCAGTATACCATGATTTGAAACGGCGCGTTGGAGAAGAGTGCTGAAAGACCGGGCAATCATTTTATTTCAGTGCGATCCAAGCTTGTAGGAGTGTCATCAGCTATAGCTGTAAATCGGACATGCCTTGCTACGAAGTTCCACGCCTGTCGTTTCCACTGGACATATCACGTCGCTTTCACAGTGATTTGGCCGTTTGGCTTGTTGCTGGTGATTTCGTGAGCTCGATCCATCGTTCCACTCTCCAGTCTCCACGCCGGAAACCTGCGCCTGAGCGCCAATCCAAATGATTACCTAACTGAAAACACTTTCTATGATCCAAGGGCGTTGCCAGCTTAACCGGTTTTCAAACACGAGTCTGCGCCCGGAAACGGGACCAGTTGATCCAATTTTCATTGTGATGTGACAGTGATCACCAGCTTCACCATCATTTTGAGCACCAGTCCGTGAGCTTAATATCATTTTGTGCCTGATATCATTTTGTAATTATCTGC